CCCTGACAACCGTTCTTCAGATCAAGCGACGTTCAGTTGAGTCCTCTACATCATCATTACATTACAATTACAAAACAATCATTTTGCATGACAGTATCATTATCTCAGACAGATGATGGAGGATATTCTGTTCTGTCTATGTGAAGGAGACCCTGATCTGGGGTACCGACAGGGATGCATAACTGCTAGCACCGATCTGTTTGTGATGAACGCGGAGATGGGGACGTCGAGAGAGACGAGTCCCTCACAGTAAGTCGAGGGACTTGTCACTAATCAGTATTAGATCTTAGACAGGGGGGGCGAATAAAAGCTGGTGTCAGATGAGATTAGTGCTAGGCTTTTGGTTGTGGTGGCAAAATTAATAATTATTGTTTCTACTTCTTCTACTGGCGTCCGACTAAGGTCGTCATGGATCCCTCCTTCATTGAACCTACACCTTGTGATGAATTGCGTCGACATCGTGGTCTTAGCAATTCTCTCTTCTGGTCCACATTGCCATATCACGGAGCTGATGGAGATGGTGGGCCGGTGGTAAACAGCTGCAACTTGGGTCTGGAGGCAGATCATGTAAAGGCTCTCCCGCATTCTTCAGTGGCTCTCCGAGGAATAACATTGCCGAGATCCGCGAACCTACGCGGCCGTTTGAGGACAACATCGGATTTTTTCTGGACCATTACGGAATAGAGATCCAGCCCCTATATCCCTTACCTCTCTCCTCTCTCTCTCTCTCCTCCTCCTCCCTCTCAGGTATCGTCACCATTAGTCGTAAATTGGACGTGGTTCATAACATTCTTTCTAACTGAAGAAAGCATACGAAAGTCCTCTACGCATCACTTCTTGAAGCCAGCACTTGGTCCCCCCCCCCCAACTTCCTTTTCCCCAAAGCCACCAGATTTTAACCCCGGCGCATGGGTTTTGGGCGTCCCCCACCCCCCCCCCCCCCCCCCCTTTACTTCACACTTTACTTTCAAAAAAAAAAAAAAAAAAAAAAAAGAAAAAAAAAGAAAGACACTAATTCTTGTGTCTCAACTCCACACACACCCAGTCAGAATGGATCCGATTACTATTCGGAAGGGAATTCCTCCCTACCCAATGTCCTGGAAGTATGGGAACGCCCTGTGTGCAGATGGGGTTCCGTCCCTTTGACTACATGGGTGTGTCTCATGCGCATAGCACATACAGAAGTCTTGTGAGTCTTTCACGTTCACTATGTTCATGACACACGCATTATATTCAAGGAGTATGTTCCATCCACCAACTTGGGTAGTACTGACATGGAGATCCCTCTAAATATGAATGCCAATAGGACAGAAGAAAGTGTCAGAGTATTGTTGAATGCATCTGTCGCTGAAGGTGTCCTTATTAGGGACAGGGTGTCCTCGTTTCAGGGGTGTTGTCCTTAAGGGGCTAGCTCAGCTGTATGGACATGTTTTGTTAGTTTCAACACACTGTTTTCGTTCTCCCCACGTGTATGTCTGTATGTATGTATGTATTATTTATTGGTGCCTCAGTGATATAGGGTGACTAACGCAACCTAGACTAGTATTTCAAACCATCTGATGCACTTTTCCAACTGTCTGGTCCCTACTACGAAGTCCAACACTACCACCCGCATCAGAGGTCCCTACACTCCGAAATCCAGTGAGAAAAGAGTTAAAAATAGTAAAATGCAACCTCGTGGTTCGTGCTTTTGCTTTTTGCTTGCGTTTGTTCTTTGGCTTTTGCTTTTGGCGCTAAAATAAATTAAAAAAACGCTCGGGGCGCTAAAACGGCTCTCCCTCTTTTAGACCCTGCCCTCTTTTCTCCCTCTTTTTTGTGTGCCTCTTTTTCTTTTTTTTCCCTCTTTTCCTTTCTTTTTTTATTTCTTTCTTTTTCTTCTTCTTCCTTCTTCCTCTCCTCTCTCGCTCATCTCTCTCTCTTCTCTCTCCTCTATTGTCTCAGTCTCAGCATCCTTCTCCAAGAGTGTGGCTCATCGCGCATCATCACCAACGCCCCATCCTCCCGTCCCTCCCAACACCCTCCCCCCCATCTCCACTTCCGACAACACAACTTCATCAGAACAAACCCACCCTGAAAAAAAACCCTCCAGACCCTAACCGTTAAGTAACGGTGTGCTCAAAGCATATTTGTCTCTAACCATGGGTTAATTTGGAATTTGTCGTCAAACAGCTGGAGCATGGCAAAAGCAGGCTCTCTTCTCACGTCAGGCAGGGAACATTTGATTTGGAGACGATGTAGGAGAGAGAGAGGGTCAAAGGAAGTGCATCGTCCAGCCAACTCTCCCCTCCCCCCATTGGCCCTCCAAAAGACCACCTCCCCCCTCTAAACCACACCCCATTTCCAAGTCAACACTCACAAGATCCAAAGGAGCCTAGAAAGGGGCGTGGGCAGGATAATAGGGGACGTCGTGACAAAGAAATGAAGAACAATCCAAAAGTGAGAGAGTTTTTTGACTAAGGCTAATAATAACATACATGGTGCTTGAGGCAAAGTTCATCATTAAACTAAACTCTCATTAGACTCTACGTATTTGTGCACAACCAGCATATTGCTCCCTATTATACCTATACCTTGAAATCCCATGAGACTTGTCTCGAACAGCAAAAAATGGACGTGTTGGTGACTGTGACTGAGACCAGTGCGTGTGTGTCTGTCCTCAGATGGCAGCACATGTACCATTTCCATGGGTCAGTGGAGTGGCTGACAAGTCGAGTCGATGCCCTCGAGCAGTCTAACCTGGCTACTGCGGGAGGCAAACTGGACTCACTACTCCGTAGTAAACAGCTCCTTCCTCTCTCTCTCTCTCTCTCTACTCCACACATGGGCTGTACAAGACCAATTTCAACAATTAGTGATGACTATTAGGCCTACTATGTGGTACTTGTATACAGTAGATGAACCTCTATGTAGCTATGTAATTGATCTGTGGAGTTGTCATTCTCCGAGGTCAGCTACCATTGTGTCCATTGTGTGTGAGTGCAGTATCAATGGAGGGAGAGATTTCAGAGCTGACTGATGAACGACAGCTGTCCCCCGAGACCGAGAACACGCTGCTCCTCTCTCTCGCTGGACTCAAACATGTGAGCCACCAGTAATCTCTTGCCCACTCTAGTAATCTTCAGTAATCTCCCTTTCTCTGCAAGGTACGGGATATTCTTCTGAACAAGATTGCCTTCAGTGGTGCCATGTTGAAAGATGAACATAATGTTATCGGTGAGTTGGTCTACGTCATTCTGAATGGCGATGTATTATTCTATGGTGGTTCACACAGTGCAGAGACCCCAGGAAGATCTAAATAGAGCCCACCCTCTGGAACAGTGCGCTAGGACCTCCTCACAGGTTTCGCAAGAGGCTCTCACCGTTACCGGGAGCAACGGGGATGCCATGTCGCCACGGGAACCTGACACGCCCCCAGCAAGTGTGCCACACCCACTAATGAGCAGTGGAGAGATGGACCAGTCGACTGGTGGTGAGGGAGATGAGGAGGCTGATTGGGTTAATGTATCAGTACACGCCCACCCTCTGGTGAATTCTGACTCCTAGCAACCACCACCCCCACCCCTGCAATCAGTGTTTCATTATATAATATTGTTGTGTGATCAAATTTGAAAGGTTGGAGTGAAGCGATGCACATGCGAAAGTCTAACGTTGTATACAAAATTTGTACAAATCAGAGTACGAGAAGAGGGACTATGTATTATGGGTATACAGCATTATTGATATTGTGTAAATCGTGAAAAATTTCTAAAAAAGAAAAAAGAGTCTGAAAAAAAAGTAGATACTAAAGTGTTTCAATCGCAGGATGAACTGGCAGGTCATCGTCAGTCGTCCAGTTTAGCTAGCTCAGATGTGTATATCCCAATTGACTCCATATCAAAGAGAACAAAGTATATCTGTGGAGGTGAGGAGGGAGGGAGAGGGGAAAGAAGATAAGGACACCTCACTAATATGGACACTTTCTCCTGTCCCCCTGGTGTCTGGATTAGAGGGTTGCCACAGACCTGTGTGAGTTGGGAGCTGACTGAAGAGGTGAAATATTCTTTGATGCTCTTCAAGATGGCCTGTGCTGCCGCCTGCTTTGGGAAGTTGTTCCTACAACATGTCAGAGTAGTAATATGTACCGCGTCAATTTGGACCAATTGTACAGTGTGCCATATTGACGTGTGATTGACTTACGATCCACTGGCAACGGATGGGAAAGCGACGGTAGACAGGTTCTTGTTCTCTGCGAGTGTGAGGCAGTTCTTGACGGCCTTCTCCAGGTTGGTGACTGCGTCGTCATCCCCCCACGACGGACTGTGGACGTGTAGCACATGTTTGCACGGCAGCTGCGTTCCCGAGCCACTGATTGCAGCTGGAAAAGGAGAGGGGGTGAAATTATTGAAGAATGAAGATGAGAAAGAGAGGGGGCTACCTTCAGCCATAGCTAGAGACGTCTTATCAGACACTTCTTTCACGGCTGAATCAAAACTCGGACCTCCAGCACCACGCAGCGCAGATCCTGAGAGAGAAAAAGTAGTAAACTGACGAGTGTTTTGGTAAGGCAGGCAAACTCACCACACTGCCCAGCCAGAGAAAAGTTTCCACTAGTTGGATGTACGACAGCATCCACAGTCAGTTGAGAAATGTCTCCCTGGATGACGGTCAGTTTCTGGCCCAGGAAGAGAGTTTTCTCAGAGAGGACAGTGATACCTCCTCCGCTGGCGGGAGTTGGCTTGCTGGCCGCCTGGCTCTTCTTGGGCGAAGAGGTAGTCTTCTTTGGGGGAGCTGCCTTGACTGGGGACTTTGGTGCCTGTGACAGACGGATTAAATATTCGTGATAGAAACTGTTCTTGTGGAATGAAAAGGTGTTGTTATTAGAGAGATGTCTTCTTGGATACATTGTAGAGAGAGATAGAGAGATAGATAGAGAGTAGGAGATGAAAGAGAGAGATAGAGAGACAAAGAGTGTGTGTCTGTGTGTGTGCATCTCACCTTGCTGGCTGCAGTGGTAGCAGGCTTGGTATGGAGACTCTGCGGTTTGCTGACTCCTCGCAGCTGGCTCTTCTTGAACAGCAGCACCTCCGGGATGTGTGGCAGGACACCTCCCTGGCTTATGGTCACCCCTCGCAGCAGCTGGGCACACAGAGAAAGAGGGATATTTCACACACCATTTGCCGCCAAAACCAAGATCCAGTGGGCTGAAATGGGGTGAAAATTGGTGCATTGACTACATACCCTGTGGAGTTCGTCGTCGTTGGCAACAGCTAGGAGGATGTGACGAGGTGTGATAATCTTCTTCTTGTTGTCCCTAGCGGCATTTCCGGCCAACTCGAGGACCTCCGCACACAGGTACTCTAGAACTGCCGACAGGTAGATAGGTGCTCCCACGGCAACACGGCGCTTCAGAATGGCCAGTTTTAGGTAGCGGTACACTCTGAGAGGGAGAAAAGGGAAAAGAGAGAAGTTGCCTTATTTGAACCACTCTACTAGAATGCGCGGTGTACTCATGACGTCACTCCAGCTTCTAAGCTTCTTGGGTTGTAGAGTAAACGGTAGGGTCGAACGCTGTCTAGTGTAGATGTTCGCCAAAGGTCCCGCTCGCCGCGAAAGCGATAAGGTAAGGGTCGTTTTCGGCGCTGGTTGTCTCGTGTCTCACCTACTGACAGGAAAAACAACGCCTGCTTTGGCCGAGCGGCTCACACGCTTCTTCCTGACTTTTCCAGCTCGTCCAGACATGGCTCCTTCTCTTTCTCCCTAGAATCACAGACGAAGCAGTAGAAAAGGACGTTTAGATCGCACGAAACTTTCTTCTCTCTCTCGAAGAAATTGCCGCCTCGAATGGCGATATTTTGCGCATGCGCATATATCTATATTCGGATCCGGAACAGGACCGACAGTGATAGTATCCGGAAGAATCCGGAGCCAGTATACGAAAATGTCTTCCGAAGAGAGTGTGAAGGAGGAAGAAAAGGAGAAGGAGGAGACTGTGGAAGCTGAGGGGAGCGCAGGAGAAGATGTCGCGAGTGAGAGAAACGCTCAGTGCTACGAAATGTTCGAGAAAGTGGCGGAGTATCTAAACGGGGAGCTTGCAGGTAAGGTTGTATGCTGAGTGCAATAGCAACTCATCCTTCCGTCGTTCCTCCGTCCAGCCACGTCGGAGGAGTACGCCCTCCTGCAGAGACTGAACCAGATAACTCTGAACAAGTACCAGGACATGACGGCTCTGGCCTCGCGACTGAATGAAGTCTCCCAGAGACTCAACGACAAGTGTCAGTTCCTCTCTCCTCTTCTCTCTCTCATATTTCTCAACAATCCAGCTTGTTTTGCTTGAATCCAAGCTGAAAATACTGCTCTTTGACCACAATTTTTTATCAGCAGCTATATCCCATATGAAACGAAGATCGTAGATGTGGATCCATAGATACATAGCTGTATGCCCCCTCTCTCTCTCTCTCTAGTTGTATCCCTACAACCATACTGTGACCAGATTGACCAGGTGGAGGCCAGTGTTAGTGCCTTGGAACAAACTGCCTATCGCCTCGACGCCTACTGCAAGAGACTTGGTGTGTTCCTCAACGAAAATATCGGAGTATAGTAAACCTCTGCTAATACCATACTCTTCCCTTTTACACACCCATTATAGAGGGAAAGTTCCGAGATCTGGAAAAGAGTTAACCAAAATAATAGCTATATCAATTGTATAATTGTGTGTATATACATAATAAACTCAAATGGCAAAATATTTGTGATGCAAGACAATAGATAATATTTGTTGCTGCCTGCCACCTGTACTGCAGTACGATAAAGTACAAAAGAAGCTAGCATGGCACAAATGGCTGGTCATCGACTGTATGGGTGGTAGGACGCTCCTCCGTGTTGATTGTAGTTCTTTACTGGTCCATACCTTGAGTAACCTGCAGCGGGATTTGGTGAAGAGAGAGAGAGGAGATGAACAATGTGTAGGAGTAATCGTAAAGGGGAAAAGAAACAGAGTGGAGTAATAGGTGTATGTCAATGTTCAACAAGACTTGGAGTTGGAGAAACGAGGCAGTGATAGAGTTGACAGGTTGTCACGGAACTGACCTCCCCTGCCACCACCTTGAGGAGGGCCATATCCTCCGTAGCCTCCGTACCCTCCCCCGGCTCCATACCCATCGTAGCCACCGTCCCACGATCCGTCGTAGTACTGCTCTTGTTGGTGGCCGTGATATCCATACGGAACCCACCCAGCTATAGAGACAGACAGACAGACAGAGACAGAAATCACACCACCCAGCTATAGCGACAGACAGACAGACAGACAGAGATCGCTATAGCGACAGACAGACAGACAGATACAGAAATCACACCAACGTGTTGACAATATTATAGACCGGTCAAGACATGTATAGCAGGTCACTTGCTGAAGAAAACTTACTCGGATTTCATGGCTTAGCACCCAAGGGGCGAACATACCGGCAAAAAATGTTGGGTATAATATGCAGACATAAGTTGTATAAACAAAATGTCCCCAAAATTTCAGTTTTATTGAAAGTTGTTTGGACTGGTATAATTAGTACACAGACCTCTTCCATATCCACCACCTCCTCCTCCTCCTCCTCCCCGTTGGAACCCTCCTCCCATTCCCCCACGTCCCCTGCCTCCCCTCCACCCTCCTCCTCCTCCTCCTCCTCCGCCCGGGAACTGCTCCCTCGGTGTGGCTCTCTTCACCTCAACCTGCACAGTAGAGAGACAAACGGAGTGGAGAGATTACACTACAATACACAGCAATAGACAAAATCCCAACACGTGTGTGTAATTACGTGAACTAATACGTATGGTTGGATAGCACCATCTACAAGAATACAAGGTTAGCTTGTTTCTTTGCTCACCAAAGCAAAGCAAAGCAGTCAGGAAAACGAAGTGTAGGTAAAGAAGACACACAAGCAATCTCACCTTAGTCTCCCCGATGCTGTGGAACTGGACCTGAGTGACCCTGTCCACCGCCTCTTCCGTGGTGTACGTTACAAACACAAACCCTCGGCGACGCTTGTCTGCCGACTTGTCTGTCACTATGGCAACCTCCACAATCTGCCCGAAAGAGAGAGCCCGGGAGTGAGAGAAGGAAAATATCAGAAGAGGAAGAAATAGAGAGAAATATTCTAGGAATTCACCTCTCCGTACTCCTTGAAGTAGCTTTCGATTGTTATTTGCTCCATGTCTGTTGGAACCCCGCCCACAAAGATCTTCTTCGTTCGGTTCTTCATGGCCTGCGTTGTTTGAAACAGAAGAAACACGACAAACACCAGTTTAACAGCATGTGACTGTGTGTGTCTCAATTTGGAACCAAAACACGGGGAATGGGAACGGGACTGTACCTGGTGCTGGGCGTGGGGGATGGCCTTCTTGACGTCGATGTCTCTGTTGTCTAGAGTGTGTTTCCCGCCCTCCAACACCTTTTCCACTGACTCCTTCTCTTTGAAAATGATGAACGCAAACCCTCTGTGGAACAAATGGATAACCATCTCGGTGTCAGGTGAGAACCATGTGACAATCACATGCCAGAAATAGGGTTAACTCAACGCAAATAGACAAAAAGTTAAACCCATGTAAAAATGGACAGGGAATTAAAAATAACCTGGATTTTCCAGTGTCTCTGTCTTCCTTCAACATCACACTTTTCACTGGTCCGTAGGCCTCAAAATACTCCTCCAAAGTCTCTGCCGACAGAACACACACAGCCACAGGGTAAAGGCAGGCAACCAGAGAGATATCGAATGTTACACAACAATGTACAAATCGCAACGAAACAGCAGATAAAACACAGCATTATGGATCGGCAGCAACAGGCGGTGCCTTAGACCAAGATACAGTTTTATTAGACAAAACCGGAGCCTACTTTCATCGGTCTCCCAGCTTAATCCTCCAACAAAGAGCTTGCTAAATCAGATTGGGTGCGGTGAAGATGGGTGGGAGGGAGAGGAAGAGAGAGAAAAACAGTAACTGGTGCCTCGGCCTAGACTTAGGCCTAGTCAGTGATTAACAAATCTGTGAAAAATCCTTCAGAAAAACAAGTGGTTAGTAAAACACAAAGAGGCTGCTTGTTCCAATTAGAGAGCAGGCGGTCCATGTGCTCTAATTGGAGTTACCATTCTTCCTCATATGCGGTCTCCTCTGGTGTCTTCTCGACGTCCGTCTGAGCTGTAGCTTCTGTTCCCTGGTACACCCCTCCTCCAGGAACCGCCTCTTGTCCTTCCTCACACGCTGGAGCCACACCCCCCATCCCCTGACTAGCGTCTTCCTGGACCTCGGGGCCCGCGGAGTTGTTGGGGTCGCAGAAGACCCCCTGCATTATTCCCGGGTCCCCAGCGCTCTCTTCGATCCCAGTCGCCGTCTGCTCCACCGAACCCATCTCCATGTACTCTTCTTTGGGCACCTGTAGTCGAGAGAGGCTTTTGGTGTACTAACTCGCCGCGGGCGGAAGTGTTACGTACCAGTCCATCTTGCGGCGTGTCTTGTTGATCGGCTACCTGCTCTCCCTCAGAGTACCCTATACCCTCAGCTTGCTGAATCCCCTGCGCCTCCGCTTCCGACATCCTTTCCCCCCAATCTCTTTCACACTCGCTCGTACGACGACGGTGTGCGGATATTGGTGGTTTTCTCACGTGCACGCAATTTTTGGCCCAAAAAACAAGGTGCGCATGCGCAAATATTCGACAGGTGTGTGGGCATTATTTGGAACGGCGATGGCGACCAAGCGTGTGGTATACGTCGGCGGGTTAGCGGAGGAAGTAGAGGAGAAAATACTGCAGGCCGCCTTCATCCCTTTCGGTGAAATAACGGACATCTCCGTTCCTCTCGACTACACCACGAACAAACACCGCGGGTTTGCCTTCGTGGAGTTCGAGCTCGTTGAAGATGCGGCCGCTGCCATCGACAACATGAACGAATCGGAGCTGTGTGGAAGGACCATTCGCGTGAACGTGGCTCGGCCCAAGATGCTAAAGGAAGGTAGCTCTAAGCCTGTATGGTCTGAGGACTCGTGGCTGCAAGAACACGCGGGGGAAACGCTCGAAGGAGGGAAAAAAGACACTGAGACAACGGAGGATGGAGGAGAGGGGGAGGGGGAGTCGGCTGCCAAACGACCCAAGCGGAGTCCCAGAGTGTTCATGGATATCAAGATAGGCTCAGAGGCTGCCGGACGTGTAGTTATCGAGCTTTTTTCAGAGGTAGTCCCGCGAACAGCAGAGAATTTCAGAGCTCTCTGCACCGGGGAGAAGGGGTTTGGCTACAAGGGCTCACCGTTTCACCGCATCATCCCACAGTTTATGTGCCAGGGAGGAGACTTCACCAATCAGAACGGAACGGGGGGGAAATCAATTTACGGAGTAAAGTTTGATGACGAGAATTTCAGTCTGAAGCACACCGGCGCAGGAGTGCTGTCGATGGCCAATTCTGGGCCCAACACAAACAGTTCTCAGTTCTTTCTCTGCACAGCCAAGACAGAGTGGCTGGACAACAAGCACGTTGTGTTTGGTCACGTGGTGGAGGGCATGGAGGTCATCCGCAGCATGGATAAAGTTGGGACGCAGTCGGGGAAAACAAGTCGACCTGTCGTCATTTCCGACTGTGGAGAACTCTAAAAACCTTTCTTATTATCTTTCTCTCCCCCTCTCTCTGCTCTTCTACTGAGATTCCCTAGGTTTAAAATCCACTTCCATAATAATTGCACAGAAATGTGAAAATGTGAAAATGTGACATAATAGAGAGTAATGCACAATATATACAAACAGTGAGTGGCTATATTTTGACGAAAAAGTCAATCCTAAACCAGTAGTATGCGATGAGGATCCACAGACCCACGGCGATGAGGTTGGCAAAGAGCAGGTCTAGGTGGGAGTTGGATTGCTGCTGCCAACTGAAGGGGAAGTAACCCTGCAGAATCTCGCTGCCAACGTACACCAGTATGGAGTTCATTCCTGTCGTGGAGGGAAAGGGTTAAATAGTTTAGTCACAGGATTAAATCTCTGTGCATATAAACTTGCCAATAGTAACATACACTTAAATGTCAAAGCAAACTAGTCCCAACACCTCAAAAATCTCAAGCCCATGCAAATTTTGGAGGTCTCCTGAGGTTGATATTATTCGTCCAATAACTAGCAGTATGTCCAAACCCACCAGGATACTTGAAGGGAGCTCCGTTCCACCAGAGAATGACGTCGATGATGAAATACAACGCAGCCAGAAGGACAAAGGCGCTGCCTCCCATGACCAGTATGAATGAGAGAGACCAGAGGTTCTTGTTAAGAGGAATCATTCCTTCGTTCTTCTGACCTTCACACAACACAACTCCCAATCCTCCCTGCATTTATTCAGACTGTAGTAACTGATGCAGAAGCATACACATTTTAACAGTTTCAACAAAACTGTTGATACGCAAATCTTGCACCTCAAGAAAAAAATTTCCTAGCCTATTATGTACAAAGACCCCATAGTTGGAATTTAACCCCTAATGCACCAGCACAGTATAAGATTAACCCCTAACCTACCAGCAGTAGTCCCCAGAGCAAGAATCTGATGAGGATGTTGTAATCTTTCTTGTACAAAACTAGGATTCGGCCAGCCTGAACTCCCAGGAAACAGAGTACGATGGAGTTGAGTGAACCCAGGACCCCTTCAGGGTCGTACGGTCTCAGCAGGTGGTACGTCTCCTGTGGGGGAGTGGGAGAGAGAGAGAGAGAGACAGTTAGTTCCTCTCTCTCAATGAAAACTATTGGGTCTTGAAGGGACAGCGAGATTGGGATGCATAGTGTAGCCATTCCACCCTCCAACTATAGTAAAAGTAGCTACATATTAAGACCATGTGACTATATAATATAGTCAGTGAGAGACCTTGGCAGTAGGTGTGTGTCTATCTGACCTTGGCAGTGGGTGTGTGTCTATCTGACCTTGGCAGTAGGTGTGTGCCTATCTGACCTTGGCAGTAGGTGTGTGCCTATCTGACCTTGGCAGTAGGTGTGTGTCTATCTGACCTTGGCAGTGGGTGTGTGTCTATCTGACCTTGGCAGTAGGTGTGTGCCTATCTGACCTTGGCAGTAGGTGTGTGTCTATCTGACCTTGGCAGTAGGTGTGTGCCTATGCAGTAGGTGTGTGTCTATCTGACCTTGGCAGTAGGTGTGTGTCTATCTGACCTTGGCAGTAGGTGTGTGCCTATGCAGTAGGTGTGTGTCTATCTGACCTTGGCAGTAGGTGTGTGTCTATGCAGTAGGTGTGTGTCTATCTGACCTTGGCAGTAGGTGTGTGCCTATGCAGTAGGTGTGTGTCTATCTGACCTTGGCAGTAGGTGTGTGTCTATCGACCTTGGCAGTAGGGGTGCTATGCAGTAGGTGTGTGTCTATCTGACCTTGGCAGTAGGTGTGTGTCTATCTGACCTTGGCAGTAGGTGTGTGTCTATCTGACCTTGGCAGTAGGTGTGTGCCTATGCAGTAGGTGTGTGTCTATCTGACCTTGGCAGTAGGTGTTTGATAGATATGATTGTCAGTGAACAGCCAGCGATCAATCACTCCAGCAGCTCCACCGGTACAGTTGGAGTATCTCCCATGGTCCGCCAGTCCTCCCGGGCCCAGGTATCCCCTGCATACACAGGGAGAGTAAGGAAACCCTTTGGGTAATCCAAACGACATCATCCCACACATCCTAATGGCTGCTTGGCTTACTTCCTGTGTGTTCTACACCGGATATGGCATGCAGATTTCCAAGAAATGGACCACCAATGAACCCAGAGCATTTCCTGCCAGCCAGGAATCCCACAGTTAACAACATTCCTGAATACTTTATGCCTACAGCTAGACTAACATTAGGTCTTCTCAAAGTAGCTAGATCTAAGAGTCTTCTGTGGGAGCTATAGAGACTAGTGTATAGCACTTCTCTTTGGGATATGATGTGAGTAGTAAGTCTGGTTAATGTATTCAGGATGATTGGTTGGTCTGACTGTCTCATGCAGAAGGTTTGACATCCACACATTTCAGTGATTACATAATTGGAAATTGTTAATTACCTGGGGCAGGGTTGAGGGAGGGGGAGAAGGAAGGTCAGAACAAGCCACAGGAGCTCCAGTACAAACACTACAGTCCACTGAAAGACGTTGGACGTGATGTCACGAAATATTCCGAGAATTCTTCCTTTTGGAGTCAGCTGGAATACACAAACACCATGTCAGAGTAATTGAGGCAGTAATTGAGGCATATACTCTTTTTAACTATGGGTCCATTACACAGCAACTGTAGAAAAAACACTAGAAAAATGCCAGTGCTCCATCAGTTCCAAACTGACTACAAGTTAAATATTCCCACTGTGGAGTGGAGTGGAAATCTTACACTGCAGAGAGAGTTGCGTATCTCTGAGGTGAGGAGCTCAGTGAGAGCCACGACGAAGTAGGATATGGCAAACCGCTGGAGGACACCGGGGATCCTCCATCTACCTAGAGTGAACCCTACACGCAGTACCAGATAGAGAATATGTCACGTTAGTCTACTGATGAACATGCAATAACGTTCAACAATCCAGATCAATCTGCCTCTGTCATTGCTTCACCATTTGCAACACATCTCAAAGCAGCTAATCCATTTACCATCAGATAATGAACAGTAAATACAAGGAGAGTGAGAGGATTGCGCAACTCACCGTTGTTAAGGAAGAGACCTAGACCAAAGAGAATGACGCTGCGTCGCACCAACTGATAGAGTCTGGACAGAATGGTGTGCTTTGTGCGGCTCTTGTACGAGAAGACGATGGAGACGCCCATGATCCAAATGAACCACGGGAAGACCAAATCAGCCACCGTGAGACCGTTCCAGCGACTGTGGTCAAAGAACCAGTAGCCACCTCCCCCATAGTTGACAAATATCATTATCATCAGGGAAAACCTGTCGCGCGGGACACGTGGGAGTGAGAGAGAGGAGAAAAAGGAAACAAGACAAAAGATAGTAAATATATATAGAGGCTAGTATTCCAACCTTATTATGGAAACAATGAACATTTTTAGTTTTGCTAATGCACATTCCCTGAGTCAAGGTGGACAGCTATTTTACTTTTTTGTCTCACAAGTATTATACAGATTATTTAAAGTCACAGTGTAAGCAGTCACATGTAGAGCTGGCTGACCCTCTGAACGTGTCCAAAGATGCCAGCCTCCTCCGACCAGGTGTCTTGCCGGTCGCCTCTCCCCCTCCTGAACCGGATTTGACCGACTGATCAGCAGGGGCACCCTGTAATCAGGACACACAATCTTTCCTCTAGCAATAGTCTCAAATACAGATATGTTTTCAGCACACATGAGACCCACCACTGCAGACTCACCATTAGTCCGTTGACACTGGAATCATTGGTTCTGTTGAGAGGCTCTGTTTCCTGAGGATTCACTGCTCCATATTCTGAGTTGACCTTTCTTGGGTAACCCAGATCCTGTGTGTGTGAGAGAGAGAGAGAGGGGGAGGAGAGAGAGAGAGAGAGAGAGACAGAAGGGGGAGATGATGGCACGGAGAAACAAATAACAAATGTTGATGGTTTTCGTAGTTCGGCACATGATATTGTTGCAAACGAGACTACAACACCCGTACCCTCAATAGCTACTTACTTGTCCTTCAGACATTCCCTACTATGCAGCATCAGGCCTTGAAGTATGTTTGAGTGGAGTTGACAAGGAGAAAGAAGGGACATACCCACCCTGGCAGTGACTCTGTCCACACTCTTGAAGTGGAGATAGTGGAAACAACCTCTGTCTCTCAGGACCAGCCACAGGATCTTGGCCGCTCCCCACACCAGGGCCAGTCCCAGGATTCCCACCGCTGCATAGAGTATGGCTGGCAGGGAGGGAGAGAGAGAGAGTAGAGATAGAGAGAGAGAGAGACATTGAGAACAAAGATAGGGGCCTGGACTTACAAAGATAGGCGGTGTAAGAGAATTTGCGGGAAGAAAGCTAGGTGTCTGGACTCACGAAGATAGGTGGTATAGGATGACACCATGTTCTGATGTTCGAGACTGCAGTTCCTGGTGTCCGAGTCCAGGTTGAGGATGTACTGACTGTGCTCGCTGAAATAATGGTGCTTCCTGTGTGACCGACAGAATGATGCAACTCACAAAAACGCTGGGAGGAAAAGTTGTAATACATGCATGACGGCCAAAAATTAATGATGTCATTAAAATTTTATATGCTACAAATTCGCCAAATCTTAATGGTCTTCTTGGTACAAAACTCACTTGCAGTAGATAGTGCGGTTCCCATCGCTGGTGTTGTACTCCACATATATGGTCCAGGCAAAAGTGGTGTCCAGAATCACGTTCCAATTCTGACCTGGAACGACTTCTCCCAGACAGAATGGCATACACTGCAGGGAGGAGGGGAGGGAGGGGAGAGAGGGAGGGAGGGAGGAATGCTAAAAACTTCTTTCTCAAACTGTTATGCCTGATCATAACTTCATTAAAATTTGCTTCAACATAGTTACGTACAGTGGTTGCAGCTCACCTTATAGCAGTTGTCAGATTTCTGCCTAATGACGACGGGAAATGACAAACTGTTGTTTACCACTAATAGGGCTTCATCGATGCCGAGTCTCGGAGTGGGCGGAGTCCTGGAGAGTGGGTGTGGTCAGTCAAATACAGCAAAAAAACCTCAGAATAAAGGGCAGTTTTGGGGCATTAAAATCAGAGGTGTCCTCTAACACATTAATTGTATGGGGCATAACCAAGTGTCCTTTGTAGAGAGGTGTCCTCCATTTGGAGGTTCCTTTGTCAAAGAATATGGAAGAGAAGGACTAACAGGGATTGTGTGAAGAGCTTGAGTGACTTGTTCTGCCCGCAATCTCCATAGAAGAATAGACTGTAGTACATTCCTGGAGAGGAGCTGTTTAGGAAGACATAGGCTGTGGAAGGAGAGAGAGGAGGGAGGGAGGGAAGGGTTAAGACGCCATAAAAGAGTGTCCTGTTCACCTCCTTCAACACTGACACTGACGATACAGTCGACTTGAACTGTCCAGTAGCTACCTACACACCAGGAGAAAGTGCAACAACTGAGAGCAGAGTGAGACTTTAGCCTGAGTACTGAATTATGGAACATCTTTGCCAATACCTGGACCATTCTCCGCTGGCAAGGAAACGTTGGTGAAGTTGTATCCAGGCACAGTCAGCGTCACAGTGTTGTTGCTGATGGAAACGTTGGTTATGAGGTTCCCTTCGTTGCATGCCTTCCAGCCAACGTGCGCTACATTTGCTCCAGCTGCCAGGGGAAAACAGGTGGGGGGAGTGGTCAAACGGGGAGAAATACGCTAAAACCGACCTTCTAGGTTGCGCCCTTTCTACTACCAAGCACTGGCTTACCTCCTGCGGTGTAGAAGATCAGGCAAATCACCGCACAAACTGCGCTAGAAACTCGAAGAGGAGACAGCATCGCTGCGGCTGCTAGCAAATTCGCCATCTTCGTCGTCACGTGTTGTTGTGATGGTTCGTGACGTCAGAAGCTAGACGCACACACCTTCACGTACGTCGTCTATATACTCTAGACTTTAGCCACGCCCCACAGAATTTCGCCGCGTGTAGACCCCAGAACCTGAAAGAAGATCGAGCCAGTAGTAGGCGATGACTGAGCGGTACTCCTTCAGTCTAACGACTTTCAGGTACGCCAGCCTCCTTTCGAGGTGTTTTCACTAGCTGCGAACGCGCGCTCCCCGTCTGCGCGTTCGTGTTGCGCTTTAATTAGAACGTAAGATTATTCTCTGCAGCCCGTCTGGGAAGTTGGTTCAGATCGAGTATGCCTTGCAGGCGGTAGCGGCTGGTGCTCCGGCCGTGGGCATCAAAGGTAAGGCAACACAGCACCTCCATAGTTTTCAGTGCAACCTCTGAAAGTACCTCTGAATAAAGGACACTTAGTTCTGCCCCATACTAATAGTCTTACCTCTGAATAAAAGAAACTTAGTTCTGCCCCATACTAATATGTTAGTGTATCACCTCTGAATAAAGGACACTTTCAATGTCCCTAAAGTGTCCCTTATTCAGCGGTTGAAAATTTCCACGCCACCCACCCCAGCTAAGAATGGGATAGTGATTGCGACGGAGAAGAAGCAGAAGTCGGTGCTCTATGACGAGAGCAGTGTCAGCAAGGTGAGTCCTGGAACGGGGGAATGGGGGTATGAGATTGTGAGACCAACACACAGATCGAGGTGGTGAATGACAAGATTGGGATGGCCTACAGCGGAATGGGACCTGACTTTAGGTATGTCTGCATTCCATACTCCCATACTAGATTGGGATTTGTGGAAGGTTTGGTGTTCGGGATTTTCCACAGACCACAATGGCTTCTGTTCCGAGTTTCTGTTCCAATTTACTGAGCTACTGAGACCTTGAGCTAGTAACTCACATGTGGGTCTTTAATTACTTCCTGGAAGTGATGGTTACTGGGATTTTCCAGACCACAATGGCTTCTCTTTTGATTTATGTGCCGCTTTACTGAGTTATTTACATTTGGGTCTTTAATTACTTCCTGGAAGTGATGGTTACGTAATAAGGAGGAAATGAGGTGCTGCTCGTTTCCACCCTCAGGTTGCTGGTGACTAGAGCAAGGAAGATAGCTCAGGAGTACCAGCTGAGGTATGGGGAACCAATCCCAGTGTCCCAGTTGGTACAGCGAGTGGCTTCTGTCATGCAGGAATACACCCAGTCAGGGTCAGTTCAAGAATCTGGGGTGGCTATAATTAGTAAGCTATATATCTTGGTTGTGAGATCATTTCATTATGGCAATGTAAGCTAATAACAATAATAATGATGGAGAACTGCTTCAAAATTGTTGGTTTTTGTATTTAGCAGTGTACTTCACAATTTAGTGTGAGTGTTTGATTTTGTTAAAACCCCTCATCCAATCACTCGTACCTTCTGTCTGTCTCTCTCCCTCCTTCCGTCTGTCTGTCTCTCTTCCTCCTTCCGTCTGTCTATCTCTCTTCCTCCTTCCGTCTGTCTGCAGAGGAGTTAGGCCATTTGGTGTGTCGTTACTGGTGGCTGGATATGATGAGGAGACTCCATATCTCTTCCAATGTGACCCTTCTGTAAGACGAGCTCCTACATATTATATACTCACATTCATCTCCCTCTCTCCTCTCTCCCTCTCTCCTCTCCCCCCTCTCCTCTCTCCTCTCTCCTCTCCAAACGAATGAACCTAGGGGGCTTACTTCGCTTGGAAGGCTACGGCGATTGGCAAGAATTACATCAACGGAAAAACATTCCTTGAAAAACGGTTAAAACCCATTCAACCTGCTAAACACTCTTCTAATACCTTACCTTTCCTCTCCCCCCATCTCCAGCTATAACGAAGGGCTGGAACTCGAAGACTCAGTACACACGGCAATCTTGTCCCTCAAGGTGTACATACCTCGCAACTCATTACACATCTTTCCCACATTCCATGTCATATATTATATAGACCTGGGCTATTGTGCTATTGTGCAGTAGGTGCCTGTACAAGTGTCCGGTATTTGAACCACTACAGTATCACATTTCCTGGTTGAGTGCTAGGGGATTTATCCACTGTAATAGAATAGGCCGTTGTAATATGGGTGATATGGGGTGCCCTATGTGTAATTGTGTTTGATCTGAACTAATAATGTGCCTTGTTTTGGTTGAGGTAATGTTTATTTACGCCACAGCTTGTAAACTGATCTTGAGAACATGTTGTTAAGGGCTTGTGTGATGTATCATGTTTCTAGAGACTGGGTGGACTTGTTTATTTGGAACAAAGATTTGAAACCAAATGGTAGCACCAAGTTTTGAAATGGTTTTAAACTTCTCAGAACTATCTTTCTTCATACTGGCTATTTGATAAGAGTGCCGTCCATTTAAGGAGCTACGGCACTGCACTAAGTGGATACATTTCTGGACTGTCTTTAGAGTCTTAGCACAGCATCAACATTATTGAGAGATATCCCTAATGATATACTAGCCCTAATTGGTGTTTCAAAGATTCAGTTCTCAAGGAAATGGGTTAAACAGGAAGTGAAGGCATGATGCACGAGTGACTTGAACATTGTCATTGACTTCTGGAAATTAATTGGGTTGTAGTTGGAATGGCTTGTGGGGATGTTTTGTAGAGAAGTGATATCTCTAGTAAAGATCAATAGTGGAACTCTGCCCTTGACTGGCCGACTACGGTGAGTAGTAATGATGTAACTTTATCTTGGTGTTATGTGTGTGTGTGTTAGGTAAGATGAGAGTTAGGTAAAATGACACAGCAGAACTTTAACAAACGCACGTAATAAGTTCGGATAGATTGGTGTATACAATAGACCCATACATTGGATATGGTCTGGAGCTGTCCGTTCTAGCGCTCACATGCTTACAAACTAGTTGCTGGAGTGCATAGCTATCTTCACAAGCTCATGAACCAATGCAGTTGTAAGACATGACATAATTGCCTTGTTCATTGCAAGATGCAGACCTTCAGAAAGGGTCAAGGAGCGAGGTAATAATCAACTGTCTGGCACTGCTGACCAATTGCACCACACACAGCAAGGATGCCCTATCAAACAGAAAATTTGGCTGGACCAGAGAGGATGTGTATTTTGCTGAATCACTGAGGATGTGTGGGCGGTAGCGGAGCATGATGCACAGTGCATCCTGTCCGCGAAGGAGGAAAAGGATTTAGCGGTTTCTCTGCTGATCATGGTTCTGATTATGTCTTCACCTGGAGGGTAAAACCAAAGGCAGGCAGTGGGATACAGACATATCCAGTTGCTCTCCCTCCATTTGTGGTGTTTCGTGTTTCATTCAAGCAGAGCCCTCGGGCTCTCTACCACATGAGAGAAATGCATCATTTGGTTCTGGAGTGTTACTCTCTCTGTGAATTATGATGCTGCAGAAGTAGGTCCTCTGTATGAATACAATGCAGTGGAAAACTATAGGCAACTGTATTAAGGCTTAGCAGAGGAGTTGTAACAACCATAAACTCATTAACAAACGTGTTCCCGCTATAGTGCTTGAGGAGCTGTACGTATGAAAGCTAAATTTAAGCTAGCTTTAATTGATGAACATTCTTCACATAGCTTCAGTTGGTATATATAGACAAGGGAATCACGAATGTGTGTGTGTGTGATTGGCCCTAACTCTTGGTCTCGAGATATCGTAAATGGAATTTATTTGTTTTGAGGAGCCATGCCGTGGAATGCAAGCTCAGGTCCGTTTGTGGGGGCGTGTGTATTGGTCTCTTGTACACTGCCTGTGGCTGCATGTGTGCACAGCACCCTAGTTAGATGTTTTTGTGATTAGTGCTAATGAATTGAAAGGACTCTGTTTCTGGCGGAAGAAACGGGAATCTGTGGGATGAGTGGGTGGATGGTCGGATTCTCGTGAGCTGCGGGGTGCGGGTCCTGGTACCTGGGTCGCCGGGGACCCTTCGAGGCTTCTCGGACTGACTTGAGGGGGTGGCCGTTGCCAGGTGTGACACAAGAGCCATTCTCTCTCGCTTACTGTTGCCAAATCGCCAATGGATGGAGAAAGCTCACAAATTCTAGTTGGTTTGCATCGGATTGTGTGAGGATGGCTGTGGCAGTAGAATTACAGTTTCCAAAGTGTTTTGCCTGCGATGCTTTCTCTCATTCTCGGACTTCACAAGTTATCTTCCGCTCTGTTTATACTTTGGGCTCAAGACCACTAATAGCATTGTCTACCATTTCACTGAAAACCCTTCCATTATTAATTGTGAGCGCAGATAATTTATACAGTGGTCTATAGCTATGTGTGGAATGTTTCTCACCTGAAATGTTTACGCGGTGTGATAGTTGCCACCATAAAAGGAAGTAGAACCCTTTGAATGGTGTGGCTGCTGCAATTAATCCAGCCTGTTACTGAAGGAAGGAGGGGGCGGTGGATAAACCAGTGCTGTGTTGGACAGATGTGATTAAATGTGGTCATATCCTTTTTGAAGGTTTACTGTGGGGCACTGTTGGTATATATTTTCCTCTGGTTAGCGTGAATCCTGTGCCTCACCTAGCCCATAGCTCCCAGACATAACAGACAGAAGGAAAAGCTCAGCAGACAGAAGGAAAGGCTGGGAATCATACTCACAATGAAGACCTCACAATGGTTGTGTGGGAGTTAATGCACCTGTGTTGGGTTTCAGCTTTGAAAGACATGTTTTCAATACACGCCCATTATCATATCATTGGGAGCTGATGGCAAATAGCATGAGGTAGTGAGCTACTGTTGGAGATGTGACTTTGTGAGTGTGTATTTGCTGTGGTCCCCGTGCCTGGCGGGGATAAACCGGAATAGACTGATTTGAATGCTTGGATGTAAGGAATTTCTCCTGACTTCCCTGTCGCTGGCAGTGCACCAACAGATACCCTGTGGTCACAAGCACATCACCTCATGGGTTAGCCTGGCCTCCCCTGGTTCCAATTCCCCCAACTGTTGGTCTTCACTTGTTTACTTGTCTCCTTTGTTGACAACCTCTACTATCTATCTGTATACACACTGCACTACTAGTACACTGTTATCGCAACAAAGATGATAATTGTAAACGTGATGGTAGCTGCAACAGCAATGTGTCCTCTGTCATGCATTGTTCGCTCGATGAAGGCCGCAGCATAGGGGTTCATTTCTGATTTGTTTACGTAATATTTTTTGTTTACATACGTTTGGATTTTTGTTTATGTAGGAATAATAAGTTTCGTTTTTTCTGTTCACCATGTGTCTGTGTGTGTCTCCAGGAAGGGTTTGACGGACAGATAACAGAAGACAATATCGAGATCGGGATATGTAATGAGAGTGGATTCAAAAAGCTACCTCCCAGCACGGTCAAAGACTATCTAGCTACCACCTTCTAGATCTCTCCATAATCTACACTGTAACGTATGCTGTAAACATTCAATTTATCCCATTGACGAAGTGTGTATATACGTGGTGTTTCGTGCAGCGTTTGTGTTTAGCCATCAAGGAAGTTTTTCCGCATTCTTCAATGGGAATCGTGCCGCGGGCACAATCCGCGAGGTATAAAAGGACGTCTCAGGGCATTCACTGGCACACAACGGTTCTTTTCACCCTCCGACAAAAACTTCTCTAACTCACATACGTAGCTGGTCTGCTCCAATGAACTGCCTGGTAAGGAAGCTAAACAGTGTTAGAATAGCTATATCTATACGTGGAAGATCAGATGCATTACAAATATTCTTCCCTCTCTGATGCATTAGGTCCGGAACCTTGCAGCTAGTTCGTCCTCATCTCCCTCCGAGGCAACCGAGACCTCCACCTTCGGTGTGGAATTGGTGGAAGCTCTCGGCATCATCCACGGCTCTCCCTCGGCTTACGAGCCCCTCGAGCAGGCCGCCACGGCTCAGGGACCTAGTCTGCAGGATCCCATCTCTCTCTCCAACGCCGAGTACAAGGACCTTGGCGACGCTCTCGCCTCCATTCTCTTCGCCTCGTCTCCCCGTCCTCCTCCGAATCAATTGTCCGAAGCTGCGATGTCGGATTCGCAGCCGAGCGTCGAAGACGATCTCTCGTGTTCGAGCGCGCAGTCTTCGCTCACGAGCCTGTCGACCGCCGACCCCGGCAGTCCAGCGGCGGCGGCTCACGGAAAGAGCCCCGCCTCCAGCGACAGCGAGGAGGAGAGTTCGGCTGGAAAACAAAAAACCATCAAGCTTCCACAAAGTAAGAATAACATCTTCACGTGGCTAAAACACAACGCTAGGATTTGCAATCCTAAAAAAAGCTAGGAGCAATAAATCTGGTTTGACAATAGCTATGCAAATACTGTGTGAGTGATGATATTATTGGTGTTCCACTCATTTCTCTGCAGGAAAAGGTGGGATGCAACTGTGGCAGTTCCTGTACGCTCTGCTGTCAGACCCTCAGCACAAGGACCTCATAGAGTGGACTGAGAATGTGAAGGAGAGAGAATTCAGACTCCACGAGCCCGAGGCCGTCGCGATCTGGTGGGGAGACCACAAGAACAAGAGAAACATGAGCTACGACAAGCTGAGCCGCTCCCTGAGGTACTACTACGACAAGGGAATCATACGGAAGATCAACGGACAGCGCTACGTGTACCGTTTCTGCGTGGCACCCGAAGTGATGTACAGACACATTGGCAACTCAGATTGCAGACCTAAGCTCAAGCCGATGTCAATTGCTGCCCAAAACGCACTCTCAACGGCCGCCAACTACCAAAACATGCCTTATCTTCAGCCCGTGCAGCCTCAGCCCCTCCCCCTAGCTCTTTTCAATCCTCCCTTTGTCCCTGCACCGTACCCTCCTCACACTGTCACCTACCCACCGTTCTCCCCACCAACTACTCTCGTACAGTCGCACAACTACCTCCCACCAGCCCCCACAATCTGCAGTGCCAGTCCTCCTAGTTACAGGGGTTTCTCCCAGCCCACCTACACCCCCGAACTCACCAACTTCAACCCTCACCTCCTCTCCAACCAGCAACCTCCACAGTTCTCGCCAGACTACCCCAGCTGCTACCCAATGGAGGAAGCTCAGTTCATGCCTCAGCTCCTGAGTGAAGGGTCTCCGAGCCCTCAGCCAATCTCCCCTGCCAGTGTTCCTCCCTCTTTCACCAACCATTCCCCCCTCTCGCCCCCTCCCCCCTACGGCTGGAACTTTTCCCTCTCATGAAAACAGCAGCATCTATAATAGATGTGGAATTTCAATTTTATCTGATCACTTTGTCACTGGTCGTCATTTTTTCGTTAACGTTTCATCACCACAGGATATATCCCTGTAATTATACACACAGAATACGCATGCGCAAATTTTGTATGCGCATGGGCAGCTCGCGGGAATTTCCCTGAAGGCGGCGGGCGTCTCTCTGAGCAATTTAGCCAGCTCCTTGCGTGAGGGTCTCTGCCTGAAGATGGGCTACTTGAATTTCACAAACATTGTCGTTTCTCGCGCATGTAACGAAATAGCGTATTATTATACCTGTTGAACCCCCGCCCGGCAAAGTTGTGTTGGCGGGTCGACGTATTAGATTGCTTGTCTAACTGTATACTCCTCGACTGCTCCGTCAAGATGGCAGGCAAGCATCATAATCTACGGCCCGACGGGCGGGGGCTGTTTGTGGCGACATTTTACCGGGGAATCTTCGCTAGCTACAACACTAGCTCCAATCAATGTTACGATGTATGCGGTGCGTTGCAATGCCACCTTTTCGATAGTCCCGTCCAACAGCAAAGACGGTATAATTACGTATCTCTGAACGCAGTTTCGCACTAAAATCGTTAGAACACAAAATCATTACCAGATAATGCCTCGAAGCACCGGATGGGGAGCACAAAAAACCGGACGGCGTTTGTCTTCGGCGTGCTCCGACCTCGATTTCCACGAAATGGCCGCCCACGAAATCCGCTGGGTATAATTATAGTACTACCATACAAGAATATTCATGCCAAGCGACTCCACCGTGTACCTACATAATTGATGCGCGGTGACGTCTCATCCGCAGTCGCATTCCGCGGCACAGGATCTTTATACGCAACATACGCGATTTACCTGAGAAGCTGACGTGAGTAAAATTCGCGGAAGGGCGCATACAAAATGCCGACGCTTAGCATATCCTATACGTCCTTCCACGCCAACTTACGTCATTTTACGTCATTTTACGTAGCACACTTCAAAGCTCGCGGCGCCAATAAAATGAGCAAGTGGAGAGTCGAAAAGGAGGACCGTTGCAGTGTTTGTAGCTCTAACTCTCTCGCTAAAGGTTTGTGTGAAGCTTATTAGGCCCTCAGAAGTGAAAATGGCTCTGGACTATCCATTCCTGAACCTCTCCGACATGCTGACATCCACAGCCTCTTGCACCGGTGAGTAACAGAGCTGATCAGCTGGGTGGTGTTATATAACATTATCCGCGGGCTCTGCATGATAACCAACTCCTTTATTATTTATTATTTCTCTCAACAGACTCGACAAGCATTTTGTCCAGTAATATCGTCTCCTCTTCTCTCTTCGTCGCTGACGGCTTGGATCCATGCGTCCCTCCTCCTCTTCCTCCGCATCTCAGGGGTGTCGGCGGCTGGACCAGCGCACCAAGCTACCCTCTGCATACTCACAATTCCGTTTACACCAGTCCTCCGCCGCATCTGCAGCTCTCCACGCCGGAGAGCAGTCCGCAAACTGTTTTCCCGCACGTTTACCCTCCCCAGCAGCCCCTGACCTGCGACATTCCTCCTGGACTCCAAGTCCCTCCTAACACTACTCTCCCGCCGGTTCGAGACTTCTTCTTCCGCGGGTCTTCGCTGGAGGAGAGTCCAATATCGTCTCCGGGAGACCTCGAGCGAGAGAACACCACATCCACCGCTGCAAGCACCACTAACTATGTTGGAATGGGTGTGGAGCAGCAGAAACTTGGGTTCAACAGATCCTGTTCTCCTCTGGCTGGCCTGGGAATCAGCTGCAGCTTCGATTCCACCAGCAGTTCTGGAGACGACGAGTCATTGATCTGTCACCCAACTAGTCGCCACCCCACCAAGCTGGTTCCAGATGGAGTCAAGATGCCACAGAGTAAGTATTGGTAAAACAATGGTCTTAGCTACTCTACTATGATAATGCACTAGCTATCATAATGGTATTGGATTTCATCCTTTTATCTATCCCTTTTCGTTCTGTTCAGGAAAAGGAGGCATGCAGCTGTGGCAGTTTCTCTACTCCATGCTGAACGACAAGAACAGAAAGTACCGTAATCTCATCGAATGGACACACACGGCAAAAGAAAGGCAGTTTCGGTTGCTGGAGCCCGACGCCATAGCTGTCTGGTGGGGCCATCACAAGAACAAGCCAAACATGAGCTACGACAAGCTGAGCCGGTCCCTGAGGTACTACTACGACAAGGGAATCATACGGAAAATCAGTGGAGAGAGATTTGTCTACCGTTTCTGCATCGATCCAGAGGTGATGTACAGACATATGGGCACCTCCAACGCTCGTCCGCAGCTCAAACCAATGCCGCAGGATGCAAAAGTGGCACTCAACAGCAAAGAATGCTCGGTTACTGGCGCATCTCCCTGCATCGCAAAGGAGCCTGAAACGCTCACAATGACTTCCGGAAGCACCGTAGAACAGATTCCGAGCAACTACTCTCCTCTCTTCCCTCCCAGCACCTTCCACAATTCCCTCCCCGTCCCCTCCAACTCCTCTTTCACCGTCTCTAGCGGTGCCTCGGGCATGAGGCGATGTCATTCCTACGATAGCACGTGTCGCTCAGCTGTACTCAGTCCATCGCAGACCCCCAGCCCTGGCAGCTGCTACGACAGCTACCCTTCGCTCTACAGCAATTCTTTCCAGACTTACTTCACCAGCAACCGCTCCCCCGGTAGCTGTTCCCCTCCTCACTCTGCCCCCCTGGATGAATACCCCTATGTCCCCTTCACCGACTTCCCTCGTAAAGACTTCACCGATTCTTTCCCAATGTTCTCCCTCCCTGCCCCACCTCTGCTTGTCGACCATCCCATTCCAGCTTTTGCATCAGACTTCTAGTGTTTCACTTCGATTATCCAAGTCCCAACATCTTACCGTTATTCTTTCTGTTATCCCCAATCGCTTCCCACTGTTATTATTGACAAGAAGAATACTTCATTCTTCGCTCATTTTTGTATTAATGTGAAATTCCTATCATGATATCTTTGATTGTTGAAGCTGAGATTATGTGCAGTACACCTAATATAATATTGACACACGTGCGCAATGCTCATGCGTGCCAAATCAGAATACCGCAATCTACAGGCCATTAGCAGAGATCCTAGAAATGTCGGCACAAGCAAACCCTGGACATCTGCTATGGCAAGTGCTCCCACAACCATGGTCTATAATATATCCTAGAACACCAGTAGCAAAGAATGCACCTTAACTGTGGAAGAGATGAAAGATGAAAAAAAAGGAGTGAAATGATTTCACTCACACAAGATAACAGTTGTGGTTTCTATCAAAGTACTGAACACCTGCCCATTTTTCCTGGTAAACCTACTATTACAGCCCAGAACACGCGATTCTGGTATATACCACTTCCGCTAACAGAGGTTTTCCCTGGAATATCAATCAGACACCACCTGACTTCCTTATATAATCAACCTGCTCACGAGATGCAAGCTCTGAACATAACGCAATCACATACACGGGGGCCTGGCTGCACCTCGAGGGTCTAAAACCTTGAGTGTTCCCCACATTCCTCCATTGACATGGAATCAAGCCCATCGTGTTTGACAACTACCGCAGTCTGTAATCGGACTACTACAATCCGTCATTGACGAAATAGGAATTCATTTCATCATCATTAACAATTGCCTAAAAGAGTTCGCTCTAAGAATTGAGATAGTAGGTTCTTGATTGGGTGCCTGTCTCTCATGGTGTCAGTCGTTTGGGGTCTCGAGGGAACATGGAGGTCTTCCTAATGTTGCTGAGGCCGAGATACAGCATGCAGACTCGCTCCAGCCCTGAAAGACACACACATTGCATTTTAGGTCCGACGCCGGCCGGGCAGTTGAGACTCACCAATCCCTCCACCTCCATGGGGACACGTTCCGTAGCGGAAAGAATCAATGTAAGACTTTATCTTCTCCAGATCTGTGGAGATATTTGACAGCGTGTGGTTGTCTGTGGGTTTTTCTTAGAAAAAGGCAGGAAAACCAATACAACCAACATCCTACCTGTCTGAACCATGCCACTCAATATGTTATACACAACAATGCAAGTTGCCAGTGCTGTATGTCTAAGAGTGGTCATTTGCCCACACAGAGGAACTGTTATAAACTGAGTGGGCAATGGTCTAGACTCCTGTTAATACAATACCTCCCTCAAGATATATAGAGAGACTGGGAAGTGGCTAATCGGCTCAAACCTCCCAATTAGCGTTCAATGACCCAGATAATGAAATATCCTAACAGTCAGGGTCTGGTGAACCTTGGTAATCAGGACACCTTGGAAGAATCAGTGGGAAAACCTGCATATAGTTAAAACCTAGGAAAAACACTTCAGAATACAGGTTCTACTGGTATGGAATGTCCTGTAATACCTGAATAGCATATCGAGTGCTCAATATGCTACTGGTATCAGAGACGGAATATATATTATATTAATATGCTTGCCTAGTCCATGGACGAGGGCTCTCCCAGTCAGCAGCTGGGGGTCGTGGATTCGCTGAGCCCCACTTAGAATTTCTTCCCCTCTCATGAACATATCGTATGAGTTGGCCAGTTTCTGACTCACACAGACAGAGGGAGAGAATAAAAATAGAAAAGAAAGGAGAGAGAGAGAGAGGTTGCTCAGGTTCAGGGAGAGTTTGTCACTCACGGGATTGTGAGGATCGGGCATAGTGTAGAAAGGGCGCACAGCAAGAGGGTACTTGTCCAGAATATAGAAGTCTGTGTCATACTGCACACAATGGGAGGGAAAGACAGACTAACAAACATCCTCAATACCTTGAAAACCATGATTTCACCCTTCGTGGCAAAGGTTTCATCACACTAATTGGAAGCACAGCTAAAGGTGGGAAGGGGAGACCAACCAACAATTCCGAATATATACCTTGACTATAGCTGGAGAGTAGTGCAGTGAAAGGGCGAATATGGTGATAGCTTAAAGTTCCCAGTTATAGCTGGAGGGTGTCCAAGAAACATAGTGTCTACCAAATATTATCATCATACGTATAAATAACAGGGCCGCTAGATGTATGCATAGATGTTCAATACTATTCATATTGTGCAATGAAAACGGGTGGTCATGGCAGCTATTGTGCAGTGGACCATTATCAACACATCAAAGGGAGCAGGTCAACGTAGGAATAACGAGTACGTGGAATCCTAAATAGCTTCTCGGAATGAAAAACCACACGCAAACCAATACTCCCACAGTACATACAGAGTCTATTATTCATAATGAGAGTCATTAGAGCATCCTGTGTTCTTCCTTTGCCCCAGGGGCTCTTAGTCCGAAACAGTCTCCAGGCACTGATTGAACTAATCCTCTGTTGTGTCATCACTGATGCTGGCAGAGCAGGTCCCACATTGTCTTCATGCTAATGTACCAATGGAGATTGACGGATCTCCCTGCTCAACTGTACTCTTTACTTATTGTAGCTGAAATAGCACTAGGTCGGTGTGCCACCTCCACTCCAAATCTCCCGTTCCTTTGTTCAGTGCACTAATGATACAAATGGCATCATCTGACTAGGGTTGAGGCTGTGGTGTGCAATACTAAGAATACCACTACAGTTCTACCTTTGAAGATAGCAAAACTAGGCTAGAAATACCATTCCTCTCCTGTTGAACCCATTCTCCCTCATAGTCGTCTCTAAACATATTACTGGTAGTTCTAAGGTTGTCATAAGTGTGATGGATGACACGAACAGCAGGTTCGAACAGTTGCAGGTCGTTAGCTATCTAGAATGACGTTAGCTGGTGTTCATTAACCATTTCACCTTAATCCCACCCCACAAAGTGAATTTAGCACTGGGTGAGCGGGAATATATAATTAACCTGCAAAATAGAAGTCGACCTACATAATATGCATGTTCATTACACATTCCACATTCCATACATACCTCTCCTTATAAGCAGGCATTTATACGTCAAGCATTGCTAGTATAAGTATATATACACTGATGCTCTCTCCATATTATCAAAAGCTTACTATGGCTTAACAAGCAGTATAAATGTGTACTAAGTGGTAGGCAGAGCAAGACTTTGTACAGTAAAATGCTAGAGGCAATAAATCACGACAGGAAACAAATGGTGACCAGACAGCCAATGTACAGTCACTTCCTCCGCTATAGGACAGTCCATAATGAAGGCCACCCAGGAAACCAGCCCCCTCGTCAGATAGAGACCACACACTGAGTCCAGACGACAATAGTCAACTTCCATACTATAGTGGCTGTGAGATGGAGACAAGGTTCCTCCCTCCACCACGGCCTGGCCCATTGAGGAGGGGAGGCAGGTAATGCAAAGGTTCCTCCAGCTTTCATTGGACAAGTCAGACTGACTCAAGAATCTGTGTCTCCTATTGTACACTATATGTGAACCAGCCCAAGTTAGGCTCCGTGACATCTGCTTATTGACATCGGCTGATTTTCACGGTGTAAATAAGTCTTTGTATATAACTAGCTCCTCTGCCTCAGTTGGCAGGACAGAGCTGGCAATGTAGTGTTAATCCAGGGATGATCGCAGTACGCAGGTGGGAGAGAATTGATGGCAAATACAAACAACTGAAACGTGTGAACTAAGCATGGCTGAATTCCCACCAGATAATGACGAGAGAGAGAGAGGGCCAATTATGGTCACAGTTTATATACCGACAGCTGGGGGGCAATATATTCTTTAGCTCACTCCACATGTGACGTAAGTAAAAGGTCAGTAGCCCCTATCATATGTCCCATCATAATTGGCTTGCACCCCCTCGTGCCCACTTCAAAGTTTTGCTGGAAATCATCCGCAGTAGCTAGCATTCTAATGGCTGTGAATATTACACCTGTGACATCACGTGATGTCACATTTGAACAGCTATGCATTATGATGTAACAGCTAGCCCATTTCTTAGCATCCTGTGGGTGGAAGCTTGATGTCCTGGCTAGCAGACATGCCTTTATCCTACGCCTCCTGATTTGGTTGCAAATACTAGCAGACACGTGGAAATCTGCGTCATACTTTACCACAAATCTAGTAAAGACATTCACACAATATGTATGTCACTCATTGCAACGATGTGATTCTGTAAAATGTCCCCGAGCTATTGCTAATAAATGGCACACTTACCTTTTCTTTCACCAACCGTCCGAGCAGTTTTTCATTGGGGGTGCTGTGTAAATATAGAACATGCAGTCATTATTATGGGACAAGGTTACTATGGAAACCCGTCCAAGGACACCCCAGATGATATGAGGATCACCATCTCGCCGCCTTACCCCCCTCCACCCTAAAAATTCAGACTACCCCCTGAGCCATTATATGAGCCATGCTGGCATAAGCTCCACTTGCAACCAGAATGGGTCACATGACTAAGCTTCAGAATGCTATTGAGTCACATGACTTATTCTAGATAGAAAACTGGACTTCTTTCACACACACACACACACACACACACACCCAGGATCCCAGGATGAGACAGTTACCAAAGACTTTGCATGCAACAATGGGTCGTATTGTGCAACAGATGTCTCTACGACACATTACAGCATCGCAGGCAAAAAGCAACAGGTTACATGCACACATGCAAAAGCACTCCTAAGCCATTGAGTAGCATTAGTCATCAAAGGGCTTAACTGAAGGGGCTGTATCTTGGGACTGTATCTTATTACAGGGGCCATACATTGAAGTATTTAGGCCACAATTATAAGTGTATCACTCTATCGTTAGTGTGTGAAGATTAAATTTCACAATTTTGGGATGTGTGTTCCATCGAATGTTGGATACAAACACCTGAATACGGGACACCTGAATACGGGCCACCTAAATACATGGCCCCTGAATACGGGACACCTGAATACGGGACCCCTGAATACAGGACCCCTGAATACGGGACACCTGAATACGGGACACCTGAATACAGAACACCTGAATACGGGACCCCTGAATACGGGCCACCTGAATACATGGCCCCTGAATACATGGCCCCTGAATACGGGACACCTGAATACGGGACCCCTGAATACAGGACCCCTGAATACGGGACCCCTGAATACGGGACACCTGAATACGGGACCCCTGAATACAGAACACCTGAATACGGGACCCCTGAATACAGGACACCTGAATACAGGACCCTTGAATACGGGACCCCTTGGGTAGACCGAAAGTGTCCCGTATTGTGATGTCATATTTACCTGAGGTCATCTTCATCTCCAATTTCAACTCCATTGGCTCTTAGCATAGCCACACCCTCACCATAGTTCAGTATAAGACTGAGAGAGAGAGAGAGAGAGAGAGATAAAGGAGAGAAAGGGAGAGAGGGAAGAAGCGAGAAGACAGAGGAGAGAAGAGGAAGGGGAAAAACATAAAGAGGAAGTAAGATGTTGATCGGTCGAAACATCTAAGACACAACTCCTTTGAACAAAGTTCCAATGGAGGGATTTTTCTCACAGACTAACTTAGCCACTGATTGTGTCTGGCTCAGTGGGTGCCAGGAGAGGGGTGACAGTGCAACTCCACCAGAACCAGATAAATGTACGTCAGATGAAAGGAGGGGTAATTGGGGAGCAAGGGGAGAGTGCCATGTGGTAGTGGGTAATATAGTAATGTTACTAAAAATAGAGCTGGGCCCAGTGTAAGAATGCAATTAAGTTTCTGCTTTCGGTTACAGTTCAAAATACAACACGTATACACCGCCACATTCTCTAGCAGGTCTGACAGAGGGTATTGTAGGAACTATGTAGAACTCAGGCTAGGTTCACATTACTATGTGGCACTGCCCCATAATCAGGACAATTGAGTGTATTATAGGAGAATGTACTGTAAACCCAGTCTTACGGTGGATCCAGGAATGTGAAGGGTTCGGCCGGATACTGGTTACGTACCACCTCTATCTCACTGGCACATCTGAATAGATGAGGAGTGGGATCGAGGGGGGTGAAAGAGGGAGGAGGGGGTGAAAGAGGGAGAATGGGAAGCAAAGTGTAAAGCCACCTTGTGGCAGGACACTAAGGGCAATGCTTTACACAACCAGTTACGTGCTAATTGACCACATGGAATTTGATAATCAACCCCTCAGACAAGGTGTCTTACTGTTGTTGGAGGCCTCTGAACATGTTGACAAACATGCCTCCTATCACCTTCAGCACCTATTAATTACACAACAGAGAGAAAGATAGAGAAAGGGATTCATTTGTAATGCAGGATGTGTAGATCAGGAATCATACAACAGAATGTACAGCACTAGTCTACGTACATGTGGCTTTACGTGACCTTTCATTCAGACAAGAGGTCACTCCAAATCAATCTCTCTAAAAATTCCAAGATGCTCCAGCTAGGGCACTCCTACTATGAGAACACCGACCACTACTGATTGTAGCTGACAGTCTGAGGTGCGGTTACCTCATGATAGTGTTCAAAGAACACCATTTCAACGTCCATCCCCACAAACTCGCACAGGTGTCTGTGGGTGTTGGAGTCCTCCGCTCGGAACACTGGAGGTAGGTGTGTAGGTATACAATAATATACAGTTAATCCTCTGAATAAGGGACACTTGTTGGGACACCTGTATTCAAAGGCATCCGGGAAATAAATGCACCAATGCATCAGTAAATGAGCAGAACTGTAGTGTCCTTTAGAATAGAGCTGTGTATTTTACTGAGGGTCCTATAGCAGACTACATTATATAGGGGAGAGGGGGTGGGAAAGATGGAGAGAGAGAGAGAAATATAGCCGTAGTGGTCAGGATGTTCATGGAGACCTTGTCCAATTGTGAAAACACGCTCAAAGTCTGCGCAGAGAGCCATCTGCTTGTATAGCTGAGGAGACTGGGCCAGATACGCCTGCCCTGAAGATGAGAGAGATGCCCCAGCATCGATAAAACTCTTTTTACAATTACAACAGGCTTGGATATTTATGCATGCAAGAAATGGCATCTTGTCTGGAGGATTGGGGTCAAGTAGGGGAATGTGTAATGAGTTACCTTTGAAATAGGACACCTCAAAGACATTCGCTCCACCTTCACTAGCAGCTGTTTGGTGGGTGGGAAGGGGAGGGGTAGATAGGGGTGAGAGAGGGGGAAAGGAGAGAGGAAAAGGTGGTGAGAGACTGTGACTCCATAACATGTGTAGCCGTCACATAAAGCCGCGCCGAGGAATGGAGTTGTTACATAACACGGAGGACCAAAACGCGTGCAGGCATGGAGCGCTGCCTGAGGTTCACACGCAAGCAAAACTGCCTTTCAACGCATGTCTTACGTCACGTCAACAATTACGGACTAAAAACAGTATTCTTCCTCTGTAAAGTCTCCGTAGTTTCCCGTGAACTACCCCGAAAACTAAAGATCTTACGCAGAGTTGTCTCCCCCGTGCGCTTAGGCGCATCACTGCACGCGCGGAGCGTACGTCCGCCCGCAGCGAAGACACTACGCTATACTACACGCTAACGGTAATGGCCCCGCGTTTACTGCGCGAGCTCCTCTAAGTTCGCTTTTTATCTGCCTTTCTGCACGCACAAACTTGCAGTTTTTGAAGAATCGCGGCAGAGCAAGGTGTGAACTGTAAAACTTGGAAACCGCCGAACTGGAGTGCGCGCTAAGCCTGCCGCCGATGGATGCTGGGCCGCCGCAGGCTACGCCCACAACATCAACTACCGCTCATCCTGGCGGCGTGGCGAACCTCTTTTCCACCATCACTGGGGAGATTTGTGCCGACACCGTCAACTCCGTCATCTCAGATCTCAACTTGTTCCGTAAGTTTCACCGTTCTGACCGACGGTCCCGTGTCGTCCGTATCTGTCGTCTTGGGCGAGGGGGGCGATTTTCAAAGCAGTTTGCCCCATATCGGATCCCTTTTCCGGGTCCGTTTTGGAGTCCACAGCTCCCTGGGATCGCTAGCGAGGTGTACAGTTCTGTACATGGAGGGAGCACTCCATTTTTTTATCGCACCTGTGTTGAAAAGGCCTTATGTTTGCCACGGCGCTGGAGCACGTTCTATTTGTCGCCTCGAGGCTAGATAGCTATATTCAGACCTTGACTTTTCGAGAAGCAAATAAGGATAGCCCCGAAACGAACGTGGCTACATAACCTTGCATAACACTCTACTCCTCACTCCACTGTGTTCCCCAGGTGGAGGAGGTGGGTCTCTGCCGCAGTGGGACTCTCCGCAGACCACACCCACTACAAGTCACGGAAGCCCACTCCGCATGGATTCAGGGGACACGCCCACAACGAGCAGCTCTATGAGTGGAAGAGGCAGGCCGCTTCGCACAGAACAAGGTCCCAGCAGCGAGTCCTTCTCTACCAGTGAGCAGACAAACCTTTCATTCCTTCCGTTCTTCCACGGTTATTTTTCTACTCTACTTTTGCTAGTCCCGTTAGTGTACGCTGAATTCCAGTTGTTCAAAAACAGAATGCCTACTGTCCCACTAAGTCACCCAGACATTAGCCACAAATGCCACGACATGCTGTAAGCAGGAGACGAGTAAATAGCATCCCCAGGGCTTACTATATAGCAGTTTGATCCCCCGAGAAGGAGAGAGCATTCACAAGACTGAGAGACCCAAAAGAAGAACCAGAGCCTCTGTAATTGCTGTCCAATCTACCATATATACCTCCAGAACACACCAGGCAGCCCTCATGCAAAGTGGCAATGTATCTAGAGGACGCAGTTTTCTTTCCATTGACTCCTCCCACTTCCGATCCAGGCCCGCCTGCCCCGTTGACCTCTGACCTCAACAACCACAGACCTGGCTCCAACTCCCACTCAGATTCGGACACGGAGCTCCCCATGAGAAAGAGACGGGCACCGGTACCCAGCGAAAAGAAGGACGACAGATACTGGGAGCGGAGAAAGAAGAACAATATCGCGGCGAAGAGGTCGCGAGAGCTACGCAGGAAGAAAGTTGACGAGGAGTTAAAGCAGGCCGGAGAGGCGATACAGGAGAATCAGAAACTGAAGCAGGAGATCGAGGTACTAAAGGCAGAGATTAACAGTCTGCGGAGATTGCTAAAGGATGCTAACATGACCCTGTCGCTGTGGATTCGAGCCAAGCAGACGGCTGAACCAAATACACAGCTACCACCGATGCTTCGAGGGCCTAATGTTCCTTTTGTCAATTTTCCTGTCTCTTCAACTGTCTAGTCATCGACGTAGCAGTTCCACTTCTCTCTCTCTCTCTCTCTCTCCTTCCTCACCTTGCACTTCTCACACAATCAATTTCACATCAAGTTATGATAATTGTGTGCAAGTGTCTTTGATTCCAACCAATCTCACACACTGCAACAGTAATATTGACTATGCATAATTATATTATCCACTATTACCTATTGTAGTCCAACTTCAAACAACTTAACTAATACTACAGATCACAGACAAAAAATGATAGAACTGCCCAAGTTATGCATGTTGCTGATACTACCACTATCAAGAAAGATAAAAGAAGTCAGTCAGGCAACAAACAAGCACAGGGTTGTTGTGTAATAGTTCATAATCTCAAATACCTACCACCTCATCTCCTAGGAGACTACATACGTTCACACTGACATACAGACAGACTCCTGCTTTAAACTGACAGGCCAAAAAATAGTAACAACATCAGAGATTGGTTTGTAAATTTGAGGTTACACAACGAGTTAGAATTCCATTTGCATTCCACTGCGATAGTTGGCGGAACACGACTCACGACTGTTTGCAAGGTTTTGTCGTGCACGAGGCAACTCGATGATCCCCTACTTCAAAACAGGCAGCGGTTCCAATCATTCTAAACTTGTACAATGGCGGGTAAGCCCCTGATCACAAAGATCGTTTGTTACACAAAGAAAGCACCACGTTGTTGCATAAGATATGAAAATGAACTGATGTGTGGACGGGAAATAGCGTCAGTTATACACCACTTGTGAAGCTATATAAACAGGATGTGCTGGGAATAAAAATACCACTGAAGTATTGGTGCACGGATATTGGTGCACGCAACAAAAGGTCAAAGGTCACGTTTGTGATTACATCAAGACAAGTTTGAAACACGGCTGAATGAATGCGAAAGATATGAATATTGAGACAGTGAGGTAAAGATTATAATATTAAAACATGGGACACTCTTTGAGGGGTATACATTAGTAAATACCCCTTCTATTCCTGCTGCAGGGAACAGAATAATGCCAGGAGTTCTGAAACCCGTTCCAGTAAAGGTTGTGTTGACCAATGAGTACATACCAAACAGGCAAGCAAACGATGCATGGGCAACTGCACCCTGCCTCAAAAAGGCAATGGTCTAAGTGCCATATGGCGGGGCAGCCCCTAGTCATGAGACTGCAATCGAAGTGTTGCGTAACACATATACTGTTACACAACAAGAATATCTAGGAGAGTGGCACAGGAAGTACTGTCAGTGGCTGTTGGGCTCCACAAAGAATCGATTACATGTTCTTACGCTGGCGAAATGCCCCTAAAAAGATTGCACCTGTGTGTAAAGAAAGGTCACCGTGGTAAAGGGGAAAGGTCAAGTTTAATAAAGCAACAGCTCTATATGCTCGGCAAGTTGATAGCCAGAGCCTGTCAGAGACAGTATTGAAGAAGAACAAAGATTATGGATTCCTGATATGTTTTGTTACAGGTTCCTAGTTCACTGACAATTTGCTGTGTTTGCTGAGATCAGACAAGGAGTGGCTGCGATCAGGAGAGGACAGCTGGGTGATTACGTAACACGTTGGCCGCCGAGGCAACCAACAGTGGGCAATTCCTGGAAGTGGTAGGAGTTTTGAGGAAACGGCATATTGGCACAGTTGCTCTGTGCCAACTCTGCCCTTTCTTGGCAGTCGGTTGGAATAGCTGAAAGAAGAACTAGGGCTGGGGTTGAGCTTGATAAACTGTTTCTTCATTCCCTCCTCCCTCCTCTCCCATTCCTGACCATGGCACATAGTTTAGCCAAACACCACAACGGAAGCTGGGTTGGGCCCCTATAGTCAATCAATACTCTAACAAATCCAGGTCAAATCCCAAAAAAAATCCAGGTCAAATCATTAAAAAATCCAGGTCAAATCGTAAAAAATCCAGGTGAAGTTGCAAAAAATGTAGTCAAATCGTAAAAATTGATTTGACTTATAAAAATAAAAGCAGCTCATTGATGAAGTGATCTTAGCTATACTGTAACACTACGTATGTATGTAGATGTATATACCAGAGATGATCTTTGGAGTGTGAATTTCCACGAAGCTTGGGCCGTGAGGTAATCACGAAACAGCCGACAGACAGCTGCTTCCACTCGAAATATCGCCTGATTCGTCGTGGTCTGGAAACAATGACAGAATGAAAGCTACGAAAACGACCTCTGAATATTTATTCTGCCCCATACTAATACACCTCTGAATAAGGGACGGCTCTGAAAAAAGGTATATACACTTTCAATGTCTCCAAATGTCTCCAAGGTGCCCCACACTCCAAGTCTTACTTACTCTCAGATCAATGATTCTGTTATCCAATCGAGTGTCTTGGTTTACACGCCCCTGCGGTCCATCCTGTAACATCACCACACATGAAGTGAGAGTGGGAATAAAATACGGTCGCGTGTTAAAAGGATGATGTAATCATTACCTCGCTGTTTTCGGGTCTCATGGCATCCTCAATCTGGAGGGGCAGCTGAGGCAAAGCCTGGCTGATACAGAACACCTGGGAACACACAGTCAGAGAGGAGAGAGATTGCATCATCATCATCATCGGAGGTCACATGACATCTCACTCATCACCTTGGCAACCTGAAGCTCCACCTCCTGCTGTGTACAGCCGGTAATCTTCTCAGGGGCAGCTGTAACTTTCCCCTCCACATCGACCACTGACTCGAGGTGAAGACTGTAACATGGCAGACACAAAATGTGACAAAAATATGTCTGCACTTTCACACCACATATTTTAATGTATTGCATGCTCGCTACATTTACCAGCTGAACTTATTAGTGAATGTGTTTTAAGTGATATGTAAAGTAGTAAAAGTTTAGTCAGAAGAAGAGAGTAGGGAAAGGCTTACTCTGTGGCAAACTTGACCATCTGTTTGCTGATGGTCTCAGACACGGAGATGACCGCCTGCACGGTGTGGTACTGCTGTCTCAGAACCAAGAACCCCAGCTTTCCTTGGAGGAAAAAGGAGGGAGGATAACCCTCGAATGACACTCCTGAAATGAGGACACCTCTCTGGTAAGGACACCTTTTCTTTCCCAAGAATAGTTCTTGCATGCAATAATCCTAGAAATAAGGACATCTCGCTAATCTGGACACTTTGTTCTGTCCCACTGGTGTCTGGATTAGAGGAGTTCCACTGAAGAATATATACCTGTTCCTCTCTTGGCATGAACTCTAGCTCTGACCAGAACAGTCTGACCTACCAGGTCAGAGGTCAATTCTCCAACCCTCTTCCACACACGACCTAATCATTACATCACCTCAAATTCAGCTGCTCAGAATGTATTACACTGGTAATACCGGTTCTTAGCTGTGACTGGATGAGTGGGGCTATCCCGTACAAGTCTTTGGACACATCCTGGAGGAAGTAATTAACATTCCAATCCTCTAAACTGGTTGCTATGGGCGGAGCTAGCTGTATACTTACATCGGCCTGCCGACCAGCTGCTTCTGCATCCTGCCATTAAGAGGATAATAGAGAATGATAAAAGAGATTTCATTGGGCTCTTTTCTTGCAGTTTGTGGAATTTTGTTGATTACTAACCAACTTGGCAGCGACTTCGGCTTTCCTTTTGGCCTTCTCTGCCTCTTTCTGCTGCTTCTTCAGACCCTTCTTTGACGTTGGAGGTCCGGCTTCACTGCATCACGTGACACACTGACCCATAACTTTTACAGACAGCAACTGAACTTACTCGAGGCCGGTTTGGGATGGGTTGACTGTAGTCATGTCTCCGTTCTCGTGGGCTAGGGAGCAGGAAACACGCACCGAGAGAGTAGAGAGAGGAGGCTCGAACAACTGGAGCTAGCTCGAGAGAGAGGGGAAAGCAGACTGACCCCTACCACGCGGGGTCAAAGTGGGTGGGTATGTTTGCACACGGGACGACGCTATGCACACGGCACTCTTCCTCTCCTTTCAGTTCTTGTCCGTCTTCTTCCACGCGGCGCGGTATCTCTGTCTACTCCTCTGTCCAAGGCGAAACGATAGAGCCGTCACTTCACTGATTAGCCTGGTGGAGGAGGCGGGGCAACGTGATATAGCAGCACCCGAGAGCCGCCGCCGCATGCACCCATCATGGAAGATCGGAGTGAAAGCAGCATTCAGTCTGACGACAGTACCTGGGCGCAGCGGACTGCTTGTTACTCTCCTCCAACTGGCCACACAACTCGAGATTTTCTTCTGGATACGGTAAACGGGTAGCCTACCCTCGATCCTAGTGATGGGATCCTTGCCTAAGACACCCCTGAAACGAGGATACCTTCTCCTTACGCTCTAGTACAACAGCTCTTGCATATAAATAAATTGGTGTCCATATTAGAGGGGGCTCCACACCGTGTTCTCTATAGGTTGCAGGAGGAGCAGCGAGTCCAGTAACCGTGACTACCTGTACCTGTGGACCTGAGTGTGAGAAGGAGTGTTGCAGGTCGAGGGAGCCGACGACTCCAGATTCTGAGTCGTCAGACGAAACCTCTCCCCTTCTGACACTTCGCCCGAGACAAGTATATACCTCCCTCTCTTCCCACCTCCCCTCCCCTCTAAAATTCATTTATGTGGGCGTAGTTTTGGTTACAGTAAGCATGTGGGGTATTTTCCTGTGGTCCAGGTCAATTCTCTAGAGGACGCTGTCCACTGTGGATGCCACGTGAAGGTGCCTGATGTAACCAGTAAGAAGGCAAGAAACAAACTCATAATCGCCTGCATCTTGGCCCTTCTCTTTATGATTGGAGAAATAGTAGGTGAGTGTCTAAGAGGGAGGGAAGGAGTGAAGAGAGAGGATTACTCAACCCACTGTACCCAGGTGGCTACCTGTCACAGAGTCTGGCCATTCTAACTGACGCTGCTCACATGCTGTCAGATTTTGCCAGCTTCCTCATCTCTCTCTTTGCTATCTGGGTCGCCACCCGAAAACCCTCCAAAGGAATGTCGTTTGGCTGGCACAGAGCAGGTTTGTATATACAATGAGCCTCCTCTCTCAGTCCACGTAAAAACCAGTGAGCCTACCGCTCCAGCCACAAGTCCAGAGTAGTGTCTCGTCCCTGGACCTTCTCTTTCTTCTAGAGGACTTAAAGAGAAATGTAGTTTGTACAGAACTGAATGAAAAGCACTTGAAAGTGCATAACCCTCGCCACTTTTAGTTTTGCTGATTTTCAAAGGCACCGCGCTAGTAGTATTCCCAGTACCCAAGCCGCCAGCACGTCAATACTCATATTCCCGAGGATGTGTGGCTGCCGTTAATTGCGTCAATATGAGTATTCGATGGCTGGGTAGCCACAGTTTACACAAATGAGCAAACAATGGCCAGTGACCTTTCTTGGTAAGCTGTAGATGGCTGTGGCTACATCCCAAGCTGGCAGGCAAGGGAAAAGTGGCGAGCCAGTAAGCGAGAAGATGCGCGCGCAAGCCAGAAAAAGGCGAGAGCTGGAGCGAGAGGGCTGTGTGCCGTGCGTCACTTGTGTCGTTTTGAACACGCTGTTCAAAAATGTCAGGCTTAGCTGCACCATAGCTGAGCTGTAGCGTACGTGATATACGAAGGAGACTCCAAAGAACGTCATTCCAGGTCTGCGCGGCGTCTTGTCTTCTCTGCTTGGTCCCGCGCTACAGCAGCCCGCTACAATTGCACGCTACACTACGCTCCACCGCTAGCTAAAGTAGTACTCGCTCGAACAAACGGTCAACAGGCAGCATGGGCTCACGCAAGCATGCTCTCGGCCTCCTTTCCCTCGTCTCGCCCACCGATTTCTCTCACAACCCAGGCAAAATTTTGATGACGTAATTTGGTTGCTAGGCAATTAGTACGGTTGCTAGGCTACAAATTGGTTAACGCCTTGGTTACCTTCAGGGGTACCGGATATCCCCTCAGCTGTTTACTCTAACCCCCTCGGGCTCCGCCCTCGGGTGTTAGAGTAAACAGCTTTGGCCGGTACCGCTTCAGAACCAGGCGTTAACCTATACTCAGCCAATGGCTACTACGTCAGTTTTTGCACATGCGAGTTCAATACTAGTTACTACTACAGCAAAGTGAAAAGCACTTGTCTTGACAACCCTCACCACTATTCAGCTACATAGCTACTATAGCTACGCCACCTCTTGACTCCTTCACTGAACGGATTCACTGGGGGCGTGTGCTGCTCTCACTTCACCGGCAATCTCGATCCTACTCAACTGTACCATCAATACAGCCAGACCAGTAAATCTTCTCCACACACGCAAAGCACCTAGCATCTCTATCGCATGGACCGATACACTGAACCCATTTTACTTACTCTCAGTAACTGTGTCAAATTCTTCCATTCCTCCCTTACTTACAGAGGTTTTGGGAGCGGTAGTGTCTGTCCTCATCATCTGGGTGGTGACGGGAGTCCTGGTGTACGAGGCCATAAAGAGATGCATCTACAGAAACTTTGAAATTGAAGCCAATGTGATGCTCATTACCGCTGGAGCTGGAGTCTTTGTCAACATCTTGTAAGTCATTCAGATATACAGTGGAACCTCTGAGTAGGGAAGGTGTTTGGGATATTGAAAGTGAGAGTTCTCTCTTTATTCAGAGTATACTAATGTAAGTTGTGTGTCCTTTGGATGTTGAGAAACTTTTTTCAGAAATTTGACTGTTTTCACTACTTCAACTGTCTCTCTCTCGTCTTCCTCTCTTTATCCTGTTAGTATGATGGCTGTACTGCACCAGCACGGTCATGGACACAGTCATGGTGGGGGAGGACATGGGCATGGTGGAGGAGGACATGGGCATGAGAGGGGAAGAAGAGAAGTAGAGGAAGGAGAGGAGAGAGGGAGAGGGAGAGAGGGAGGGAGTGGAAGGACTGCCAAGAAGAAGGGTCTCCACAACAAGAACATCAACGTACACGCAGCCTTTATTCACGTCGTGGGAGATCTCATACAGAGCATCGGCATTGTTATTGCTGGTTACATCATCTGGTTCAAGGTATGTCCGTACTAAAAATAGATCTCCAGCGGGTTAGGGGTTATTCAATGCCTGTAGCCGAGAATGGAAGCTGGCGGAGTCCAATTTGCACCATTCCATGTTCTCCATTCTGGTATCTGTTTTCCACCATCAACATTCTGAGGACACGCTGCGAGTCCTCATGGAGGTCTATGCATCGCCAATAGCTATAGTTGTGTGTGAGCCAGTGCTTGAGCAAATTTCAGAGCATTTTGAGGTATTTTGGCATTAGTTGCTGGCAGTCTATAGATGTGTATTTTCAATATCGTAAAATTACGTGTTCGATCCTCAAATACACATAGCTACACAATTAGAATATATGACTTGTGGATATGATGCCACTTATGTAATGATTATGTCATTGTGCTGTCAGAAGTATTAACTCCAAAGCACATAGACTACGAGGCAGGTGTGAAGGCAGACCTGGTGGACATAGAGGGGAAGTGAGTGAGTGAGAGAGTGCTGGATGATATGTGCACCCGCTCCACAGTCTCTCAGATCATCAGGTCCCCGTGACTCTCAACAAGACTGCTCATGGCCGCTGCTTCCACCTCGCCCTCGCGTCAGTGGGGACAGTAGTATGCAGTACTTGATCTGGTTACTCTCAGACGGAACTTAGAGGATCTTGTCTTTATGTTGCAATGCGCTCCAGTGTGTGTAGGCAGGATGTCTAGCGCTCGTGCAGCATACAGTGTCAATTCATTTCACTGCATCGTCTCTCCGTATGCCCAGAGCCCGGTAGCCTGACACAGATCCAGACAGTGTTGGAGAGTGCGATCGTGATCATGCTGAAGGAGAGTATGGAATCAGTCAGACCACTCTTTCAAGTGGAGGCCTTCGCAGCTCTACAATGGAGAGTGCACAACACTGTCATGTGACGTGATGCACTCACTCACTCAGCATAAAGTCGCTCTTCTATAACTGCGCACGTAACGTGCGTGGCAGGAGCGGCCCCACGTCCTCACTTATGTGACCCAGCACAGGCGGGTTTAGGACTGAATTTATGATTGTTT